TTTAAAAATAAGCAGGCAAATTTGCCTGCCTGACAATCGAAGGGATAGACGTAAATTTAGGAAAAATGCAAAGACAATATGGAAAAATTCAGCTTCCATCAAAATTTTAATGATAACCAATGGCAAGTACTTCAGCTGCAACTGAATTAGAGATTCTTAATGATTCAAATGATTTAAAATCAGATATATTATTTTTGAATTATTTCTATTCATTATTTTATAATTAACAATATATTTTCTTTATTCTACATAGAGAATCAAATGTTAAAAGAAAAACTTGCCAAATTTACTAAGAGAATCAAGAAATTGGAGTGATAAAATTCTGATCTCTTAAGGAAAAACCAATTTCTTGCCAAAATAAACAATGAATTTAGCAAGGAAAATGAAGATTTACAAGAGAGATAAAAATTTATATATTAATATCTTATATTTACAATAACTAATTTTTCTTTTTTAATATTTAAGACTTAACCAATTTAAGAGATTACGACTGCTAAGATCATTGAAGCAGTTCAATGCTGGTTCTCTTACAAAACAAAGAAAAATTGAAAATTCATCATCAAAATTAAAGGGAAAAAAGCCAGTGCATTGTATTGATAATGAATTAGAAGAATCAATACAAAACAATTCTGAGGATAATGATAATTCAATAACAGAAGAGGCTAATGTAAAAGGAGTCAGAGTATGTTTGAATTTATATCTAAATAATTTAAATTTTTAGCTGATTTTTTTTCTGCTTTTCGTATTTAGGCCGAAATGAAGGTAGTTTTGAAAACCATTAGCTCAAATGATGATTTGGACTATGATAAACCTTTTAATAACGAGAAAAATACTACATTATATCATAGTCTAATTCTTGAATTACAAAAGTCCTTAGCCCCAAATTTTTGGCTTTCTATTGATCAATTTACGAACTGGCTGAAAACCCTTCATAAGTCACATTAAATAGCTCAAAAAATTAAGAAAAGCGGAAAGGACCCTTCAGAGTTACGACGAATTCATAATAATAATTGAGTATATGAAGTAAGCAAATAATATATATTCTGAATTTAGGTCTATTTGAATCAATAATTTAATATCATTTATTATTTATTAAAAAATAACTCAGCGAGTAAAGGCAGCAAAGTATTTGTTTAAAAAAAATAACCAACGAATTGTGAAATATGAAAGGTAACCTTTACTCTAAAGCAATTTAGAATAGGAACAGGTTGATTTTAATAATTATTTTTACATTTTTTTTGGGTAATTGGGATCGATTTTTTATTATTATCTTTACATTTTTTTGGGTGATTTGGATGGAAATGAGTCAATTTTTTATTATTATTTTTACATTTTTTTTGAATGATTTGAATAGAAACTGGTCGATTTTTTATTATTATCTTTACTTTTTTGGGGTGATTTAGGGTGAAAACAGGTCAATTTTAATAATTATTTTTACATTTTTTCAGATGATTTGATTAATTTTTTATTATTATCTTTACGTTTTTTGGGCAATTTAGAGTAGGAATAGATTGATTTTAATAATTATCTACATTTTTGTGAGTGATTTTGGGTTAATTTTTCTATTTTTACATTTTATATTTATTATTTTTACATTTTTGAAGCGATTTCAGAAGGAATGAATCATATTTTTATTATATATTATTTATTTATCTATATTTAGGATAATTTAAGAGGATTTTGAGAGAAAATGGATCATATTTTATTATTTTATTATTCTATTTTTAATAGGAAATTAATCAGTAGATTTTAGTAATATTTTGTTATATTTTTGCAAATTTATATTAGGTTTTTATTATTAATAAAATTTTAATATTTAATAAATTTAATAAATAAAATGTACTGATTATTGATGCTGAATTGCTTGTCTGATTGGACTCAATTAGCATTGATCTATATCTGAATTGTTGCCAAATTGATACTGAATTGAGCTAATTTTAGGCTAATTTATAATTGAATTGCTTGTCTGATTGGAGTCGATCAGCATCGATCAGCATCTGAATTGTTACTGAATTGAAGCTAATTTTAGGCTGATTTATGGTTGAATTTAAGTTCTGAATGGTCATGTCTGATTGGGATCGATCAGCGTCTATTGGCACCTGTTTATACTGATCAAAAAATATGATAAATCAGATGTAAAAGTATCAAAATTGGCTTAAAATCTACCATCTGATTTTTAGCCAATTTGGACTATTTCGACTAGTGATTCAGATATCTATCAGATAATATGAATATACAGATAATATCTGGATATTCAGATATTTATTTGGATAGATAGATCACTACAGTCAACTCTTTCTAAATGCATCCACTTAGGATTATAGTGAAAAATTTAAAAAATATGCATTTAAAAAAAGTGTGTATTTAAAGAGAAATTTCTATATGAATTCTAAATGTTTAAAATTGAACAAGAGAGTGCATTTAGAGAGAAATATATAGTGTATATAATTAGAGAAAGTGCATTTAGAGAGGTTGACTGTATTTAGGTTTGATAGATTTAAATCTGCAAATAATTTTAGATGTCCGTAAAATATGGATAATTGATTTAAACTCTAATATAGATAAATAAGTAATTTTATTATTTTAATATAATGCGATAATCTATAATTATTATATCTAATATTATAATATTAAAATAATTTTCAATTTCTGTTAAGTTTTCTAAAATAAGTATTTAAAATTCTTCTAATAATTTTGATAGCTATAAATAAAAAATTTTAAATTTATCAGTTTTATTTAATTTTATAAAACTTATACAAGTATTATATTATAATTACTTAATAAAGATTAAGTAAAATTAAAAATAGTATATTTTATATTTATAATATTTTTACAATAGAAAAAGAAGAAATAGAAATAGCTAAAAAAAATAAAAAAATGAGTTAATGCTAAATTTGAATAAATTTTGATCTAAAAATCAGATTTGACACATAAAAATAAATTATTTTTTTTTGTCAGTTATTTCTTTATATTACAAATTTCTATATATCAAAAAAGATATTTAATTAAAATAAATTAATTAATTAATTGTTTATTTTTTTATTAATAAATTACATTAGAATTTTTAATAAAATTTATATTTATTTTATAAAATATAAAGATCATTACTTTTTTATAATTTTCATGTTATATATATTATTTACTTAAAAAAATTTAAGTACTAAAAAATTAGTAAAATATTAAACTTATAATATTAAATCTAAAAAAATAATTTATGATATTTATTATTATATTTTTTTTAGAATTTTTGATTTATTCATATATTTAATGTAAATTAATAAATTATTAAATAAATTATATTTTAATAAACATAATTATTTTATTAATAATTTATAATAAATGTTATATTGATATAATTAATTTTGATATCATTAAAATTAATTCACTAAATATATTTATTTACATTTATTTTTAATTTAATTACCAAATTTTTAACTAAAAAAAATATTTAAATAATTTAAATAAAGAATATTTAAAAAATTCAAATAAAAAATATATAAATATTTTAGATAAAATATTTAATTAAAAGAAATTATATCATTTTATTAAAATTAACTATAATGATATTTTGAAATATCTATTATAATATATTATTAAAAATATTGATTTACTAGTTTATTTATAATAGTAACTAAAGATTCTAATACTTTATAAAAAAATAAAATTGTAATTTTAAAATTAGAATTTGATTTGCAATCTAATTATATAAATAATTAAATAAAAAGTATTAAATAATAATTTTAATACTAATAATAGTAATAAAAATTTTATTTATAAATATAAGAATTTAAATATTAAAAGTTAATTAATTAGTTATATATTACTTCTATGATAATTACTATGATATAAAGTTATCTGAGATGTAATATGATTTGTAATTAACAATATTCAAACATTATAGAATATTAAAATAAATTTTTTAAAGAATGAAATATTTTGAAAAATTAATGCTAATAATTAAAAAAAATAATATAAATTAAAAATAATTGTATTTTATTTAAAGAAAAAAAGATTTATATTTTACTTATAATTAAAATCTTTTTAATATTAATAATAATTGTTTTATAGAGTATAATTTTTTTTTAATAAATTATTACTTCATAAAAAAAATAAAAAAAATTCTATTATGATTAATAAATTTCTATTAAAAACTATTGTTTATCTTAAATTAACAAATAAATAAATTCTATTATATTTAAATATTTAATATAAATCTCAAAAATTTTTAAAATCAAAAATAAAATAAAAAGAATTAGTAAATAGCAAAATATTTAATTAAATAAATAAAATTTTGTTATTCCAATTTTTTAAAAAATACATTTAAATGCAATTGCTATTTTTATTTTGATAATAATACTAATTATATTGTAATGAGCAAAAATGCTTTATATATAATATACAAATCTTAATAAATAATAATCATAATTTGTTTGAATAAATATTATTTTACAATTAATGGTAATTTCTTCTAAGCATTCTAAATATTTAAATCAGTTTAAAGTATTAAACAAGTATTAATTGAAGAATTATGACATAATGATTTACATTTTAAATGTTAATTATGTAAAATAGATTTAATAAGAACTGATTATTATGCATATAGAATTATATCTTTACAATTAGATTTTTTTGCATAAATTAGTGTTTAAAACTGTATTTGAAAAAGTGAAATATAAATCCAAAATTTTATTATAAATTGAATTTTATTAAAATATATTAGGAAGCAGCAAAAATGATATATATATATAAATATTGTAATCATTATACATAAAATAGATGGATTACAAAAATCGTTTCATAAGTAATAGATTGCAGGAAAGTTTATCATATTTACTGAAAATATAAATCACAAAAAAATTCCTTAAATTAAGAAATTTATTTATTATTGATTAAAATTAATGATATGAATTTTATATAAATCACATGATTTTTAAATAGAACACGTGAATTATTATAACCAAAAATTGAGAACTTTTTAAATGTAGTAGTTTTATTAGATTATGGGATATGAGTATAGAAGTACCATTAATATAATTCTGACTTTTTTAATTTTATTCCGACTATTTGTAATCAAATAAAAAAAACAATTTGACAATTCGATGATTTCCTAAAAAATTTTCAAGAACATTTGTAATAATATATAATTCACAATTTAAAAATTTTTTTTTCAGAAAATTAAACGTTCCATGAGTTTCTTTTATTCTTTTAAAAAGATTTGATCATTTGTAATACCTTTCCATTAATAATATACAACTCAAAATAAAAATTTTTTTTTTTAGAAACATAGATTAAACCTAAAAATAATCTCCCTTTTATTTTTTTACAATTCACTATTGTTGGTCACTTGTGATACCTTCATTAATAATATACAACTATGCAACTCAAAAAAAAAATTTTTTCTTTTCAGAAACAATACCTAAAAACTGATTCACCTTTACATAAAATTAAACGAGATAACTCAAAAATAAACTCCTTTTATTTTTTGTAATCATGGGAAACTCATGATGCAATTTCAAACTTTCTAAGACATTCTTTTGCTTTAAGATTCCCGATTGTAGATGAGGTATTGTACTTTTTAATTCGTTCTTGCTACCAAGATGTTAGATTTGTTTTGCCAAATATCAAATATTTCAGGACCAAGATATGAATTGTTAAATGATGGTCATGCTTTAGAACAACACTACGTCGCGGATAATTTAATTGAAGAAGAACGAATTAAGGGAGAAAAGTTTTTTTCGGATCCTCTTGAAGCTCAAGAATGTGTTGCAGAGATGACGTTCGACATACTATATTCTAAAGGTGATGAAAAAGCTCGAACGTAAATAAAAGAATTAATTTCTCAAATACCTCATATATTTCAACCACCTCAGCAGCCCATGGAACCATATTTTTAGAAAACTTTTTGATAAAGTTGGTTGGGGCCGTATCGAATATCCAATTGATAAAACCTCAAAGGATACCTGAAAACATTAATAATGCTCAGATTGCTGCTGATAATGAAGTATTTCAATTACTTAAGGGATAACAAGGAGTATTTCGATCTGTAGGATTTACTTCAGGACCACGTGAAGCAAAATTTGTTGATTTATCTACCTTTAAAGGAGGAGATCATATGTACATGCCATGCTAAAAAAATTAAGATTCATCTCGAATCTTTGTCAAGGATCAAGCAGCTAGGATGGCATTTTTGACGTTGGATCCTAAGTAGCTGAAAAATATCATTTGTCAAATTTACGACAGAATGCTAGGGTTGAAATCTTCAATAGATTAAGTACGATGATTGCAATGCATCTTTTATTTAACGATCCCTGGAAATGGAATGATCTTAAATATGATATCATGGATTTCATCGTAGAAAATTTTCAAAAAAAATACAAGATACGTGAATTTAAAAGTTGTCGGCTGAGAATTGATAGTGACTGTGGAGTTATCCTGAAGTTACGTTATAATTATCCGGTTCATATAATTAAACTTTTGTTGTTGCAAATTACTCCACGGCAAAGTATAATTATCATATGTGGACGTGTAATTATAAGGGTTATCCTGCGGGAATCGAAATCTTTCAGGAAATTGTGGATAATTTGTTGAAAAAATCATTAAAATAAAGCGATTATTGGCATTTGTTGCTTATAGAAAATTATAAAATAGCGATCATATGGGAAGTAAGCTATTAAATCACGTTACGAATCATATGATTTACTATGTTAGTATTTTAATAGCAAACCTCCCATATTTTTTTAGTTTTTTAACAAGAAATTTTTATTTTTTTTATTTTTACTAATTAAAAAGAATTTTGGATTAGAAGGTTCATTTTAAAAAATTATATTAAAGCTTTTATTTAATTTTAAATTTGTAGATAAAAATAAAAATCTTATACAATAAAAGGATTGGAAATTCACTCTAATGCTTCCTCCCATTTGCAATTGATCCGATCAATTTTCATTACTTTTATTACCGAGCTCCATGTGATAGATTTTTATCTGGCTTGCTAAATAAGATCGATGCGTCGTTAGAAACATTTTGGTTTTTTTTTCCGTTAAATGCAAAAAATTTACAAACAATTATTTTTGTGCTTCTCTACACTTCCATGTTTCTCGTATTTTTGGCACGGATGAAATTAACTAAAATAATAAATTAAATTATGAGGTAAGATTATCATGTTAAAATGTTTATCGTTTGTAATAATTTAAAATAGAAAAAAATATGTGCCTGTTCTTCAGTGATCCCATCAAATACACTTTGTTCTATTTTTTCAATTACAGTATGATTATTTGCGCGTGGTTGATCATCACGAAACCTTTTAAATCTCCATGGTGGATGAATTGAAGGGTTATAAACTACTTCAACAATACGTCCTTCAAATTGTTGAAAGTCATGTTTCCAACTTTATGCGAATAAAACATTTGGTTAATCAACATTGTTGTCTATGAATAAAATCAGTAAAGTCGTTAATTACTTACAATTGCTCCCACTCTTCATCGGTAACATACATATTATCAAAATATCTATGAACATCCATCCATTTATAAAGACAAAATCTTGGTTTATTATTCTTGTTATGGCGTTTAAAATCGAAACTTAATTTAAGGTCAATAGAATTTTCATTTGGTGGTTTCCATTTTAATATTTTCCCTGCCGAATAACCCGATGTTGATGATGTAAAAATTAGCCCATCGCAGTTGTGCTTTAAAGATGGTATAATTTGTTTTAAAACTTTTTCTAATCCATAAGAACGTTCCATTTCTTTATTTCCTACACTTTTGAATTAAAATTTTCATGTATGGAAAAACAAAAAGGTTAGAATTGATCATTTAAGTGACAGGTAATTTGAAAAAATAATACAATAACACTTACTTAAATGGTTGAATAATCGCAAGGTCCGGACGTTTACGCAGCATTTTTTTATAGGGGCTCATAATATAATCACGAAGATACTTTTAAAAATTAAAGAATTGTCAATTAATATAAATAGAATTATAATATAATTTTTCATAATCTATGCAACTTACACCCAATCTTTTGTTTAGAGGCTTATTCATGTAGTTCGTTTTATCCATTACTAACAAATCAAAAACCAAGAGCTTTGGCGTAATCTAAATAAGAAAGATCAATAAAACATCAATGAAACATCAACGAAAACTTATTATTTCAAAAATAGATAATAAAAATATTTACACGCCCATCGCTTTCGGTTTCATAAACTAATTCACAATCTAATAACGTTTCATAATGAAATCGTGAAAAGCTTTCGTCACCAGGAACAGGAAACATTAAATTTGGTATTAGGTGATAGTAATTTTTGCGATCGATCTGTATTATCTTCGTTTAGTAAGTGAATTCTTAAGCCATTAAAAGTAAAAAGCAGATCAAACTTTTGATAAAATAATAATAATACTGACCAAAAAAACGGCTGGTTTTCCAGGACTATCACATGTAATATAAGCTAATACACGCGTTCCGTCCGATTGCTCACAAACATAATAACTAAAAAAAAAATCAACGATTTAAGTTATTTATTTTTCAAAAAGAAAATTATTATGAATTACTAACTCTTCATTTTGCAATTCCTGTATATGCTTGGAATAGAAACTAGTTGGTTGCGCACCTGTTAAAAAAAAAAAATAAATGTTAGTGATCTTGATAATTATTAGGATGGATAAATAAAATGAATATCACACATACCAGGGAAACTATAAAAAAAATATATAATAAGAAAATTCGATTTGATAAGAATAAGTAATCAAATGAAAACCATACCAAAGAACGGTTATGTGACATGAAACGAAAAAATGCCAAATTCAGTTGATAATTATTTCGTTATTTCTGCCAATAACCGCTCCGAATACTTTGAATTAAAAAACAAAAAAAACTACTAACTTTGATACTCCAACTAACACTTCAACTCTTGACCTTAGTTCATTAAGTCGTATAGTATCAACAGGATGTCCTGGGACTCTTGGTACTATTGGAAAAAGAAAATGGAATCGTTAAGGAGTGATCTGAGCAATAATTAACACCATTGCGGATTTTAATACTAGACTAGTAATACAAATCTAGTATAAAAGAAATCAACACCCTCAAGTCTCTTTTTTTGAACATAAGCAAATTGCATTCTTACGGCTTTTTATTGGACCATATATTTTGGTGTTCCGGCTGAAATAACTAAAATATTGTTAAAAAGAAAGGAAATAAACAATCTTCAAGTATTGTTTTTTCTTTACTCACCTTTGTGAAGACATTTTAAACATGAGTAACAAAAAAAAATTGTGATGGAAAATTTAAACAAGGAAAGAGTAAAAAAAAAAAACTTAAAAGTGATGGAAAACAATTTAAGATAGATCGTGGCCAATCAAATCATTTTTGATAAACGCGTGTTAAGGTTTAAAATGTCTATCACCAATTTCCAAAATTATAACGCGTCTCTGTCTATAATTCTAGATTTTTCTATGATCATAATTAGTTTATTACGTAGAAAATATCTTTTCAAATGTTCTTAATTGTTTAAATAAATAACTTCTTTTCGACCAAATAATAAAGATTAAAGGTTTTTTACGAATTATAATCTCAAAAGAATTAAACGTTTATTTTATTTGACACGTTTTATATTAACCACTTTTCTTAAACTAACTTCGCAGGGAACATCAACTATTATCCAAAAAAAAAGATGGAAACAAATCCAAAATCGAGAAAACATATCCATGATCTTGTATTGAGCTCTGTTCTGTAAGGATTCAATAAATAACTGATAATTTTAATTTAAAATTATCAAATTAATTAATTGAATACTTGTTGGTATCATGCGTAAAAAAGAATTGATGAAAATTTGAAACTCTCCAAGTTCAAAAAACATCAAAAATAGTAATTTTGATTATAGCAAATTTCATTTTCAAAATGAATTTAACGTTAATAAATTATGAAATCAAAATTTCTAATGGTATTAAGAAATCTTTTAATCTTTGGAGTTGACACTTGCTCAAGAATTAAAGCATATCAGCCAAATGCAACTTGAACACGAGAAATTGCAAGTATTAACAATGACGATAACAATTTTTAATTTAAAGGCTTTTGAAAGAAGAATCAAAGTTTTTAAAAGAAGAAATAAAAGAAATTGACGAAGAATTAATTAAACTTCATTTTAAACCACCACTAAGGGACTAAGAAACACGTAAGTATATTTATTATTATTCATATTCATTCGATATTACTTTATATGTATGTTATGATCTATTAAAGCCCGAAAAGGATGATCAACTTTGCAAGTTTGAAAAATCTTCTCCTTACATTTGAAAGAACACGATAATTTAGTAAATGAGACTGATGAAGCTGAGATTAATTGATACAATTAATGAAAATATAGTTCAAATGATAAATTGGTTGAAAAGGTTTGTTTTGTGATTATTAGCCGTTCTTAACACATTAAAAAGAAAAGATTTGATAATAAACGATTGATTTGTAAAAGTATTCACAAACAAATAATACAATTTAAAATAAAGTAAAAGAAAATTATACTCGACTCGTTAAGTGGTTTAAAACCGTAACATAAATAAGTATTTAATTATTTATTTAAAAAAGAAAGTATGAAAATAATTTCACATTTTATAGAGTTTGTGTATCTTCTGAATTTTTAGAGGAAGTAACCAGCTTTATAGCTCTTTCTTCCATTTATTGTTTCAATTTTCTTTGGATCCCGATATAATTCTTAAAATTCTTAAAATAATTTCTGGTTTACGATATTAAATTGTATCGATTTATTAATGCTTACTGTTATAGTAATAGGTATCCTTTCATAAGTGTATCTGTCCGTGTCATAATATCTTCTTACAGAAAACTTCTTTTTATAAACCGTTCCCATCTGCATGGAGATAATTATAAAGGAATTATATATAACATAATAATAAATCTAATTATTTATTAAATAAATTATTATTTAACATACATTCTTGCCATTAGTATCATGTGCAGGCAAAATTTTCTTCTTGAACTATTTTAATTGTGTAAAGTTATTTGTTTTTCTCCACCTTTCCGGAACGGGCGGTGCTGATGAATAGTTTGAGCTAGAACTATACAAATTATTAAGCTGATCACGTGCTACTTCGATGTTTTATAATTTTAATGAATTATTAAATTAATTATGAATGCGATTAGAAAATAAATTTGATTAGGATTGTTTGATGCTCCTTATTCATTTCTTCCGATGGAATCATGTTCACCTTAAATTTCCTTCTATAACATTATAATATTGCTTTAAAGCCTTACTAACAATCTATTGTAGAAATAAAATCAATAAAGTTAACTACGTATGTATGATGTAGTAAAAATTTCCTTATCAAAGTCATACCCTAGATTTCCTCGTTTAAGAAATCATAGTTTATTAAAGATGTGAAAAAAAAAAGATATTTTACGGAAGAAGAATGTCTGTCTGTAACACTTACAGCTTTGTACTATTACGATTGAACTTTACCAAACTGTCATTCTAGAATCTTAGAGTTCATGGTTTCTAACCATTTACGAATATGTATATCATTTGAATTTTTAATATGGGAATCAAAATCACTTATAAAACAAAAATCACATTTTATTATTAATGAATTTAGAACGATCTCACTCACCATGACATATTTCTAAAGAGAATTGTTTAATAATGGAACTTTCTCTGTATAATTCAAAAATATCATCAACGGAAATTTTTTCTTCAGGAAGTCATTGACTTTGTTTAAAGATTTCAGATGTAGCATTTCCATATCGCAATAAAAATAGGAATTATGCGTTCTAATTACCAAGAAAGTAATTGCAACTGGTTACATTCTGATCAATGTAATAATAAAAAAATAGGTTATTAACTGTAAAGTTGTCCCTTAAATATTAAATTGTTAAACTGCAGACGAATTTGTGCGCAAACCGTTAGAGTATAATTAAGAATAAATCTGTGATTAAAAGTATGGGAATTTGATGCGTAATTTTTCCAAATCTTCTTAAAGAACCTCATTAGCAGTTTGATTTTAAATTTTGTCTTTTTATTGTAAATTTTGCGCTACTTCCTTTACATTAAAAAAAACTAATAAATTTAGAAAAGGCACTACCAACAACAATAAAGCATAATGTAAAGGTACTTACAATAACACGAGATCTATGTTCATTATACAATGATGATTGAACGTTAGAATATTTACGTCAAAGACAAAATCGGATCATAACATGATGATTTAACTAAGTATTGTGATAATCCATTTTTCAGACTCTTAGTAAAAAGTCACGAATCCTGAAATTATTTCAAGTACCATTTTTTACATCATAGAAAAATTTTTGTGTATAAATTACTTACAGTATATATAAATAAAAGAAATCAGAATAGAAACAGAAATACAAACATCAGAATAGTCCAAGTATTAAAGGCCGTTTTTTGATTGCATCATTCAATAACAATCTTCCTTTATATGATCTGAAAATTGCTTTCAGAATAAAGACTATCATATCGACTTTTGATCGCGCCTAATATAGCAACCATCTTAATGCAGTCAAAACTCACCGACGTAGTCCAACTTATTAAGAAAATCCAGAGTACTTTTCGAAATGTATCATCATCGTAATCTATACATTTTATACATCAAATATTGTAGTAATTACGAGGATTATGCGCGGAATGAAAGTAAATAATTCTCCCTGATTAATTGGATAAATGAAATAATTAAAGGGTGATATTAATACATATATCTGAACTATTAATAATAAACACAAATCTCAATAGGAGGATTAGGTGCTTCTTTAGTGAAATATGTGACGGATGATTATAAGGAGAATATGGGCGTTTTGTGTTATGAAAGTGTTAATTTATGATGTTGATTATTATTTATTGTATTAATAATATAAGATGATTGTTGATTTCTATATGGTGGATATGGTTTTTGATTACTGTTATGGTAAATGATTGTAACTGCTGTGGATTTATATATAATAGCCTGGCCTGGTGTTGATGTGGAAGTCATTGTGAACCGATAAAACGTTCTCATATTGACGAGAAGCATCGTATATAGTTTCGATCCTGTCATTGCTGTTCGTCGCGGATTTGATGCTAATGATGTCGTTTTATCATTTAATTGTTATAAAAGCAGCTATCGTATTTCTGTAAATACTTTAAACCTAAATTTGGATTAAGTGCAATCAACTTTACCATTGACATTTCTTCAACATTTATACTAATAAATTTTTGGTCGGTGGTGCTTTAGGCTTACCAAAATTCTTGGTAAAATAGATTTCTAGTCATGCCATCCTTTCAGGGGGTTATCGATGAAGGTTTTAAATAGTTATTTTTTCAACATGTTCGTAAGTTAGCTTGCCATTTGATATTTGAGTTTTTTTTTTAATTCTCCCTTAGCAATTTTGAGATAAGCTAAAACAAAAGTCCTTAATTTTAATTTTAACTTTAAATTGCTTACGAAAACTGGACTGTTGTAAATCATGATAAAGAGACCTTTGTAAATAAGGATCCTGATACAGTAATCTGGATTCCGGTCTCAACCAATCGTAATGTCTTCAAATTTCTCAAAATATATTCATCTATTTTATTACATTTCGTTGCTTTTTCTCATCTTTAAAATACTTGAAAGTTATGAGATGACTTGTTCAAGGGTTTTTTTGCTTGAATCTTTCTAAAATATATAAGAAAATGAATTAATACAGTAATAGGGAAGAGAATCAATAAGGGAAAACTAAATATGGAAGCAAGTCTTTCCATGTCTGTTGTAGCGTTGAAGGTTATTTTGGCTTGCTGCCACAACATCTCTTGATCTTTCTAAAAATTAGAAAAAAAGATATAAATAAAATATTTGCTTCAGTCCTGGAAATCAAGGACGTATATTGAAATCTTGTTCATAAATTCCATTTTTATTTTTTTTTTAGAAAATTATTTTAAACAAAGTATTTAAATGGTTGAGGAAAGGAAAACAAAGTGAGATCCTCTAATCAATTATGCGACCTCGGATTTCGTGGTCAAAACTCGTCCTTTTCTTAACAATTGTAGTATCTTCATGTCTCCTGTTTTTTTTCGTAATAGGAAACAACGTCCTTGAGAATATCCACGACAAAGTCTTTAATGCACGACCAGGAGAATTATGTCACCTGATATTTGCTTCTCTTCGAATTGCAGGTCTCTCTCTCTCTCTCTCTCTCTCTCTCGCGATTGCTTTGATATATACTTGCAAAATTTTCTAGAAATCACAACATTAAAATTACAATATACAATAAGTAAGAGTTCTATAATTTAAGTCAAATGAGACTTCTATTCTACGATAATGATATGAAAATATACTTATCCGTGTCGCATCAAGCTAACTTGAGCGTCCTTTCCTGCCTTTTGAGCTTGAGCGTGGTGTCGGTGTCTCAACTTATATTGACAATAATAGTTTCCTTTCTTTCTTTTTTTTTTTTTTTATCTTTCCTATCAAATAAACTAGTATTTAATATATCAAAAAAAAAATAAAATTTTTTTTAATAAAAATTAATAACCTACAGTTAATGTCGTTTATCATGTCTTAATTTTGCCAAAGTTAATATTTAACATTTCAAAACTCGATAATCGTAATTTCAATTCGTCTTAGTAGAAAAAAATCGTTGGAAGAAAAAAGTTGGAGGATCGAGATTTAAGGCGTAGTCAATGTCCTTGTGCAAAAAATTTTTTAATTATATTATTACATAAATAGATGATGTATATTTCTCATCATTTTATTTAATGCTGCATCACAAAAATAGTTTCAATTTTTTATAAATCAACTAGAGTTTGCGGTTTGCGGGGGTCTCCCGTTTAGCATTAAGTGATTGATTGCGTAATCAATTCAATTAAACTTTAAAATTTCATTTATTATAAATAAAAATATAAAACCAAAATTTTTTGAAACGATTTTATTGTAATTAAATTAATCATTCTAATTTAATTTTTCATTTCAGTTAATTAATTAATTTTTTTCGGTTATACACGATTTTTTTCATAGATTTTTTTAAATAGTGAATTAAAAAATAAATCTAAAAATAAATTTAATTAAATAAATATGATAAAAAAAATAAATATAAAAACGGATATTAATTAAAATCTTATAAATTTTTGATCATTGTGATACCTATATCGATTATATACGATACACTCTCCCTGACAAAAATATTCTTAGCAAACATGACACACAAATTTTTGAACCATTGATTGAAAACTTTGATAAAGCAATTGAACGCTGCATTGGTAGCTTCTAAAACTAATTATCATTATTACCATAATTACTGTCTCTACGATGAATAACTTACAAACCCCTAGTTTTCACACTCCTTTCCTCTCTAATCTTAAAATCACTACTCACAATATCCATTTTTTAAATGACCCTACAAAACAAAATTACCTTTTCTCCTTATATTCAGTTAATCAATTTGATATTTTAAGTCTATAAGAAACAAATTTTAAGGAAATTACATCCATTTTCAACAGTGATTTTCCTGATTATACTACTTTTTTTAGCAATAACCAAAACTCCTGTTTAATTAAAACCAGTATTAGCCTTTCCTTCAGCCCTTTTATCGCTAAACACATTTTTGCTCATGACTCTAAACTAGATAGAATTATTTACGCTGTTGGCTTAGTATCTGTAAATTTAAAGGATAAACTTTTAATTCAATCTGTCGAATTAAATATAAGACAATATCACAATCATACCTATATTAAGACATGACAAAAGGCAATAGTAAATAAATTTAATGATTCCTTTATTGAACTCTTGGTTTATCCTAAAACCTCAACTTGAATTACTTTTTAACTCAAGGGAAAATACAAGATATTTATATAAAATAAAATAATATAAAATCAACTATAACAAACATAATAAAGAGAACAAATAATATAACTATGATAAATATAATATATATAATAAATAAGATATAATTAATAAATATAATAAATATAATCCATATATCTAATATGTTTATTTGATCAACGTTGATAACTTTAGCAACTCTGTCAACTTCATTAACTTCATCAACTATATTGATCATTTATATTACATAACTTTATTTTAGCGTAGTCACAGATCATGGCTTCAATCCTCCCTTTTAAATTTTGAGCTCCTATCCAAATATCTATAGCTTCATTTACTAGAGACCAGTATACATAACTTGGGAGTTGATAAAGGTTCTTCAACAATATATATTTTACTCATTGAATTTGATCTACACCTAGCATTTTATAGAGGTAATAAACACGTATTAAGACAGAACTATAATATTTAGTGACAAATCCTCTTAATTAACTTCATTATGCTAGTAAAGAAATTTCTGTTTCTAGAAGTTTTTCCAAGTAGTAAACATTTATCAAGGTAAGAGTTCAATCTTTCATTCATGAAGCTCTTAATAACATTTGATATGTTAGTTAAAATTTCTTTTGTAGTTCCATTCTATTTGAATATAAAGAGATAGCAGAGTTATTTTTCAGGTAGATTTTCATTCAAATCTTTAATATAAGTTGTTCTATAATAATAATAATAATGATAAAAAGAAAAATCTAAATTTGAAAAGGAGAGTCTTTATATATTTTAAAAGATCTCTATTTACTGGATTATGAAATACACAACCATCTAATTCTCTTATCTTGTAAAAGCCATTAAGTAAGATTTGATGGATATAATAGGGGCCTTTCTATTTTTGATCCAATTTTCCAGAATGGTTTTTATCTTTTGCAGCTTCGAAGTATAAAACCTTATCTCCTATTTCATGTAGAATAGAGATCCTTGTATTTTTGTCATGGTACTTCTTTTATTGCTATTATGCAAATTGTATTTGTACTTTTGCATCTAATCACACCAGGGGTAATTTGTTGATCAAATGATCAATTCTTTCTTGATAGTAAAATTCTGATTGGTACAAAAGTCATTAGGATCATCAGGATTATCAATAAGTAACGTTGCATTTCATCCATAAACTAAATAAAAGTGTTCAATTTTTGTGGCTGATTGTTTGCTTATGTGATAAGCAAATAGAATAGGAGAAATATATTGGTCTCATTGAGTAGATCTTTTAGCTAATTTTGCTAATGATTCACATAGAGTTCTATTGAATCTTTCTACTAATTTATTTGTTCTAGGATGATAAGAAGTCAATAAATTATGATGAATGTGAAATTGTTCCATTAATTCTGTAACTAATTGATTATTAAAATGAGATCCCTATCTAATAAGATTAGAGTTTCAGATGAGTCGAGTTAACTCACAAGTCAGATAAGCCAAGTCGAGTTCAAATCAAATCGAGTTTATGTTTTTTTGACTCGATGATTTGTGAGTCAAGCCAAATTCAAGTCAAATTAAATATTTAACTTGACTCAATTTAAACTCGACTTAATTCAAGTTGACTTGAGTTAACTTGAATAATAAAAAATTGTTTAAGAAAAATGATAAGAAATTATTCGACTTGAACGATAAAAAATCATTCAAGAAAAACAATAAGGAATTGTTTGACTTGAACGATAAAAAATTGTTCGACTTGAATGATAAATAATCGTTCAAAAAGAATGATAAGGAATCATTTGACTTGAACGATAAAAAAATCATTCAAGAAGAACGATAAGAATCGTTCGACTTGAATGATAAAAAAATCGTTCAAAAAGAACAATAAGGAATCGTTCATCTTGAACGATAAAAAAATCATTCAAGTCGAACAATAAGGAATCATTCCTTCACTGCGCCACTTAGTGATTGAACCATGAAATTAAAAAAGAAATGAAATGACAAAAAAAAAATAATAAAAAAAAAACCTTATGACCAACTAAACAGGAGGTGATCAACCTGAAAGAAAAAAAATAATACATTTAAGCTAAAAGTAGTAAGTGAAAAAAGTGAAACTACTATTTTCGATCTAACCAGATTTAGGAGAATATTTTCAGCAAAGAAAAATTTTTTTTGTAATATAATGATCATTAAAAATAAATCTTTGTATTACATAAATCCTATGTTTTTTTTTAAAAAAAAATATATAAATATTTTTTTACTTAATAATCATAGTTTACATTATTAAATCATCTAATTAAAATTATAATTTTTACAAGATCAGATTAAGGACTTGTTCATTGAAATTGAACTTAAATAAGGGTATTCTCAGCTGTTGAAAATTAAAAAAAAAACAAGAAAATGAACTAACTTATTTATCTTTAGTCTTTTGCATTCTTTGTCTTTAACACTTCTGCTGCTTGCATTTTCACTTCTTGCATATGTCCTGTAGGTATCCCACAAGGACAATATTATGGTGGTAAATAATTAAAATTTCAGTCGTCTTCGTATGCTCTGATTCATCTCTTTTACAATTTTTTAATTTTCTTTTCTCAGACCAACTTTCTGTTTAAGCAATCCTAGTGGTGGCACATATAGTTATGGCATTCAAAACTCCTGCGTCGATTGCATTTGTTTATATAATTTAATCATGTTTGTGAAATGTAGTTTTAAAATTTGTAAGAATAATAACATTATTGTATATACAGTATATCGTCTTATATCTTATATTACATGTCTCTAAATTTCTTTCCTTGATGAAATGTCGAGACATTTTTTAATATGTAAATACTTATTATAATAAAAAGTGATATAAATTAATAAATATACAGTATAACTCTAAAATTTCGAGTGAATTATATAATTACTGTTTAGTAGTTAGCGTGGCCAAGGAGTAACTCAATGATCCACCACGTTCTTATCATTAAAATATAATATAATGATAATTACAGTAAAAATAAATAAAAATCCATAATGCGCTTACTTTCAAAATAAGTCAACCCAATAGTGTAAGAAGCTAAAGAAATCTTGCTAAAAAAAATAAAATAAAATAAAATAAAATTTAACAAATAAATGAAATAAATTGCTTATATTGAAGCGAAAGTAATTACTTAAAAAAAAAAATAATTGAAAAATTTTACTGAATCAAATTACTGTATTTCTGAAAGATTTAGCTTTTTTTATTTATGAAGGTTTATAATCAGATAGATTAACTCTAATAATTTTAAAATTTATCGTATGTTACTTGTATCACTTATAATTACTTTTTAGCATAAATAAAATATTTACACTACCGTGAAATCTTACGTAGGGATTCCTAAAACACCCTAACAAATGAGTATAAAATGTACCTATGGTAAAGGCTACCCTATATATAAATAAATTATTTTAAATATCATATGATATGTATTGGTAATAATTGCCACATTTATAGTTATATTTTCACTACTGCCGCTATCATTTTATTATCTTTTTAAAAAAAAATTTGATCACTGTTCACATAATAGCAAGTATACTATTTTAAAAGCATTTAGTTTCTTATTTTATTACTTGTTTTGTTCCTTTCTTACTACTTATTAACTTTTTTCTGTTCCTCCTTTTACTTTCATTACGTTTTTTGCATCTAATTTTTAAATCCATTCATTTCTTTCTTTTCTCAATTTCGTTCTCTTTTTTCTTACTTTCCTATCCTTTCTAACATTTTTCTTCCCTCTTTTTTTATTGTTATTATTTCTTTTTCTCTTTTTTTTTTAATTTTTACTCTTCTTTCCTATTAATTTGATCTTTCCTTCTTTTCTTATCTTCTTGTTCTATTCTTTTTCTTTTCATTCTTTTATTTATCCCAATTTGCCATTTTCCTATATATGTTTATTCCTCTTTTTATGCAACTTCTTTATTATTCCATAATTTAATTTTCTCCCCTTCTTTTTCATTCTATTATTTGTTCATTCCTTCCTTTGTTCTTTCCTTTTTTACATTTTTCGTTATTTACTTTACCTTTCTTATTTTTGTTTTGCCTCTTTTTTTCACACTTCATTTTTCATCGTTCGTTCTTTTTCCTCCTTATTTATTCTATTCTATTTCTTCTTTCTTCGTTTATTTCTTTTCTTCTTAATCTTTCATACATACATTTCTTTTCTATATTAATCTTTACCAAAATAATTTTTTCAAATATTAAAAAATTTAGCATAAAATTAAATTTGTTTAAAATTTCGTTTTATTCAAAAAAAATTTAAACTTTGCAAAATTTACTATTTTACAAAGTAAAAACATTGTATGCTTATTGTAATTTTTTCAAGTTCATGGATTTGTAATCTTTCTTTTAGATTTGTTATTACCATTACTAATTTTCTTGTTATTTCACAATTATCACTATATACAGTGGCGATCATAAATAATGCAACAAAAAAATAAAATCCTATAAATTTAAATATTTCTTTCAATTCTAAAGATATTTTGCCCTCTTTAATAAATTTTTATTTGTTAATACCATTATTTTTCAGTATTAAATTTTTAATATCCATTAATACTTCTTATTATAAAATAATATGCAAGTAATACAAATTACGCATTGCATTACTTTTGATTATTTTTGAAATAAATTGTTCAACTTGAACGATAAAAAATCGTTCAAGAAGAACGATAAGGAATTGTTTGACTTGAACGATAAAAAAATCATTCAAGAAGAATGATGACCCAAATCGTTTGACTTGAACGATAAAAAATCATTCAAGAAGAATGATGACCTGAATCGTTCGACTTGAATGATAAAAAAAATCGTTTAAGAAGAACAATAACCCGAATCGTTCTTTTCATTTTTTTTTATTATTTTTTTTTTCAAAAACGAATTGAGTTAAAATCAAGTCGAGTCAACTTGAGTCGAATTTAAAATTTATATAACTCGAATCAAATCAAATTGAAAGATTTTATAAAATAAATTTGACTCAGCTCGACTTGAAAAAAATGAGTTGAATAGAGTTGGTCTTTAAACTTGACTCAACTTGACTCATTCGAAAGTCTAGATAAGATCTTAGTTGAACATCCATGTCAGCAAATAATATCCTCATATAAGAACTTGATAACACTTTTAGCAGTGTTATCCTTAACTGCTTTAGCTTCTGACCATTTTGTTAAATAATTCATGGTAAAAATAATATATTTATTTCCTCTACTAGTTTGTGATAAAGGTCTAACAAAATCTATTCCAATTCTATAAAATGGTGAATCAACTGGAATAGGATATAATTCATTCTTTATTTTAAGCCTTCCTCGTCGTTGGCAAGCATCACATGATTAAACATATTTTCTAATACTTTTATACATTTGAGACTAATAATATCTAATACGAACTTTGTTAAACATGATGTCAGTAGAAAAATGTCTAGCTATTGGATCATTATGCATCATATAAAGGATTGCATTTAGTTCAGTTTCTTTGATAACCCTTAGAAACTATTCAGGAGCATTTCTTTATCTTTGCTTTTTATATAAGAAATTGAGTCAAACTATATAAAATTTTGATTATCTTTTTAATTTTGCAATTTTATTTAAGTTAAAAGATGTGGGTAATTGATTTAAGGTTATATAAACAAATAAATTATTAAATTAATTGAGTTCCATAATATTTGAGCTGCCTATTATAATGTAGACATTTTCGCTTTCACTCTAGATAATTATTACTAATTTTTTTGAATAAATATAGATATGAATCAAAATATTCAAATGTAGGAAACAAAAAGATGCTGAGGGTTTTCAAGCATATAATAAAGCTGGAAGTAAAGGTTTTCTTGTTAAACTAAGATTAGTTCATCTCACCAAAGGTCATTAATTAAATAATTAGAGTTCATATCCGGTTGAATTTGTCCTAGGTCAAATCCAATAATACAATGATGTTTAATCATTCCATATGGCAGATTTCTCTTACAGGCTTTGCAATATATGTGAATATGATGATTTTTAATATCATAACTATAGTTACATTGTGATCTTCCTTTAGTTATTGGTTGATTAGCTATAACTTGCTTAATCTTAATATTTTCTTTAAAAACATCTTTCAATTCATTCTTAAGATATTGATATCCTATAGTAATTAAAAGTGCATAGGAGTATTATGACATCAATTCTTCCTCTAAGTCTATTTCTTCTTGTGATTGTTCTGATAAAATTTTATTATTTTCAGAAGAAATTTGCCATTTTATTTCTTCATCATCATTTTCATTTATATAAGTATAAAAACTTCTTTTGAGAAATTATCTTGTTCTTTTTCAGGGATTAATCAAGATAATGCATCAGCGTTAGCATTATTTTTTCCAGGTCTGTGTTAAATATTAAAATCATATTGTTGCAACTCCATTATCCATTGTACACATCATCCTTTTGGTATTTTCAAAGTTCTCAACCATTTAAGGCAGAGTGATCAGTTACGACGGTGAAAGGTTTAGAGCTAAGATAATGATGAAAATTTCTAATAGCTTAAACTACTGCTAAACATTTTTGATCTGTAATTGGGTAGTTTTGCTCAGCTTTGTTCATGCTTTTGCTTGTATATGCAATAACATATTTATTTTTATTTTTATTGAGTTGAGATAATACTGCTTTAAGTCCTACTTCTGAAGCATCAGTATAAAGTATGAATTCTTTAAAGAAATTAGGGTATTGAAGGATTGGTAACGTAATCAGTTTTTCCTTTAATTTATCAAAGGATTTTTTTGGTTGTTTGTCTAAATATAAGGAGCATCCTTCTTTAATAAGGTTGTTATTGGTTTAGCAATTTGAGAGAATCCTTTCACAAACTTTTGATAATATGAGAACAATCCAAGGGCTGCTTTTAATTCAGTTAATCCTTTAGATGCTAGAAGTTCTTTGATTTTTTGAATTTTTTCAGAATCTGTTGCAAACCATTTCTTTCTACTATGTGTCTAAGAAACGGAATATTTGGAAGATAAAATTAACACATTTTTAATTTAATCATTAAATTTGCCTTTCTGATTGCTTCAAATACCATTTGCAAATATTGTAGATGTTCTTCATATGTTTTTGAGTAGATGATGATATCATCTAAATATACTGCTACAAACTTATAGAGGTATTCTTGTAAGACAAAATTCATTAAGCGTTGAAAAGTTCCAAAAGTATTCTTTAATCTAAAAAGCATCCTTTTGAATTCGTATAGACTATATGAGCAGATAAAAGCAGTTTTCTCATGATCACTCTCTTCCATTTCTATTTTCCAATATTCACTAGTAAGATCAAGTGTAGAAAACCAACTTGCATTTCTAAATTTCTCAAGCAAGTTGTTAATGAATGAAAGGGAATAAGCATCTCCTTTAGTTATAGCATTAAGTTTCCTATAATCAATATAAATGCATACATCTCTAGTTTTCTTGGATACAATAATGACTGGAAAAGCTCAAGGGCTTTTTGACTTTTGGATAATATCATTTTCTTCCATTTGTTTAATTTCTTCTTGAAAAAATTTCAATTTAGATGGATCCTTTAGACGGTATACAGAGCCAGCAATTGGTTCATGATCTCTTGTAGAAATTTGATATTGAAATAAAGTTATATGACCAATTTTTATTTGACTAAAGGCACAGATATCTTTATTTTCTTCAACGAATTGCTCAAAATTTCTTGTTGATTAGTATCCAAAGGTCTAACATGTAAGTCTTCTTGGATATTCCATTCATTATTTTAAGGCTTTAGCTGTTTAGCTTGAGCTATGAATACTGCTAGATTGTTATCCTAAGGGTTAGCAAATAGCTTATTTTCATTGAAGTCAAATAAATTTTCTTCGTCAGAGAAGTTTTCTTCACTGTTAAAATAAAAATATCTTATTCATCAAGGTCATCTTCTTTATATTGGTTATTGTAAGTTAAATCTTCTATTACATTGATTAGTTTATCCATAAATGTATTAGATTCTTCATCTAATTCAACAGAAGAACTGTCATAAAAAGTAATTAGAACAGAGGCAAATTTTGTAAGATATCTGAACTTTACTTTTCTTTCATCAAAATCAAGAATGACTTTAGTTATTTTAAACTAATCAGTTCCTAATAGTAAATTTTCATCAGAAGATTCAATGACTTATAGCATTATTGGCATATGAATAGATCTAATAATCATTTTGATAGTATTGATCTTTTCTAAAGCTCTAGCTCTTTTTCCATTGGCAGTATTGATGATTATTTTTGATAGTTTATCAATCTTTAATTTAAGTTATTTGACTAAATTACTTATAATAATACTGATAGCTACACAAGAGTTAAGAATAACTTGTACATTATTATAATGAATTTGAATAGTACATCTGACTGCAGTTGTAGGAGTATCATCATTGTCACTCATATATTCATCATCAAGGTCAATATAATTAGTTTCTTTAATGATAGCTCTTTTTAAAGCTTTAGCTAAGTTTCTCCTTTGGTCTGGATATTTTAACTATT